TATAAATACCTGTGAACCTCCAAGTAGGGTAGGAAGTTTTGGGTTCATGGGATACAGGGACTAGGATTCGTCTTTGCAGAAGGTCGGTCGTGCACTGAACAGCACAGACCTGTTGGCGTTCTAGTAGCCAGCAGCGAGGTTGGGCTAGGATTGTGCTGGTTTTGGTATCTGCAACCACTTGGATGCTGATCCACACCGGCATGGAAGAGCAAATTGTCAACAGAAGCTCGAGAATCGCCGATGCAAGAGAGCCCATCGTTGTATGACCCTGAATGCCAAGCTCGGACAATGTCACCCTAAATACCGCCGCATGTTCAGGAGATTCGCTGCGTTTCGCCTAGGACCCTGGCTTCTTCTCAACTGCATTGCAGCGTGTTCTCTGAGCAGCTCGTATGTGTGAGATGGTAAAGCAGCCGAAAACCAGAATACCCTGAAGCCCGCCCAAAACCTTGAGCCCTAAACCCTTCGCCCCTTCAACACGAGAAACCCGGAGAAGACAAGCTGCGGCAGGCGCAGGAAGCAAAGCGCAGAAGACCTTAAAGTCTAGTAACATTAAAATATTGGTGCTTCAATATCTACCAATACTACGACTGCTGTCCCGTAGGGTCCCTTAAGATACTCGCGCTATAACGTGCTCCAAAGCCATATTCCAATCATGAAAGCCCATCTGCATGAAACCCTCAACCCTGAACCCCAAACCCTAAACCCTCAGACAACAAAAGACACTCGACAAAGTGGCGTGGACCATGGCGACGCCTGTCACGGTGGGGCCACAGGCGGAGGAGGCCACCTCCTGCGCGCGAAACCTTGGGCTCTCTCAAACCCAACTACATCTTACGCAGTGGGCTTTGTCGCCTCAAGTTCGGGAGTCGAAGGTAGATGTGTATATATATATATATATATATATATATATAGATACATACGTTATATATATATACATATATATATACATATATATACACACACACACACATCTAACCTCTTCTGCTCCCTTTCAGCTTTAGGGGCTTGGTTTCGGGTTTAGGGGTGTTAGGGCCTTTTTGGAGGTTTCGGGGCTTGGGGGCAAGATGCCCTCGAGCCTCGCCGAGTAGCCCAAGAACTGACTACCAGAGGGTTCTTAAGAATTAGAATAGGGGGTCCCTTTCAAGGGATCCTTAAAAGGGTTCTATAAGTCTATAAGGGATACCATAAGGGTACTATGCTGTAGGGGCCTTGATAATTAGAATACTCTAATCATGGTAAGGAACCCCCAAAACCCTGTTCCATACGAAGGCCCCTACATGACCAACTTCAAAAAGACTCAGGGGTTAAGTAGGCACGCTTTAAGCTTTTATTTTGGGGCTTTTAGAATCCTAACAGACACAAATTAAGGGTTAGCCGTTTTTTGGGTCATGGTACTCAGCCCCTAGAAGATGACTTGATAGTCTTTGAGTTCTTTCGCAGCTCCGTTCGTCTGTCTACTGGCAATCCTTCTGAGATCGAGATGAGGTCGCACCCGGCGAACTCTGAAGCCGCTAAGAACACTGGCTAGCTCCCTGCAGAACTGCACAGTACACATTACATGTCTTCTTAACAGTCGTTGAGTGATTCTACATGGATAGCGTATGCATGGATGTACGTCTGTTAGGTTGTGCGTCTGTATGTATGTACGTATGTATGCATGTATGTATGTATGTGTGTATGTGTGTATGCCTGCATTCATGCATGTGTGTATGTATGTATGTATGCCTGTATGCCTGTGTGCTGTAAGGATACATGCATGCATCAATGCACAAGGACAGAGGGGTAAGACAGCCGGAAAGACAGATCGATAGGGAGATAGTTAGATAGATAGATAGATTCTTAGATAGGTCTTTGGGTGTAAACTTGACAGAAGCTCGTCACAGTTTTCACAATTCGATAATGAGACGTACAGAACCGAACACAAAGCCAAGTAATGTATCATAAATTCTGCTTCAAGGGAGCCTTAACCTCCGACCCGAATACTGTAAAGCCCCCAACAACCCCTAAACCTAATCATGCCGCTCAGGAAGCCTGAACTTAAGGAACTCTTGCAGTCACCCCTTCCCCACTCTGACCGCAGACCATCCGCCGCGCCGGGCTCCGGGCGCTGCGGGCGGCTCTCGCCCCTCCCGAGTCCAGCTTCCCGACGCGGCCGAACGGCGCGCAGGGGGGCTCTATGAGGGTTTAGGGTTTAGGGGTTTAGGGTTTAGGCTCTATGAGGTTTCAAGAAGGTCTCTACAAGAGTCTTGAAGAGGCTTAAGGGTGCTATAAAGGTGTCTGTAAGTGTTCTACCAAGGTTTCACGATGGTTTGTGCCGTATGGCCTAGGCCCAAGGTCCTCGAGGTCTGGCATTAAAAGATATGACACATCTGGAGATTGGAAGGTTCAGGGTCAGAGGTTTACAGTTGCCTTTGCAGTCGCGGGTTCCTGTTGCGATTCGATGGCAGTACATTCCACCAGAGTTCCTGATTGCATGAATTGAGCGGTCTTCAGTGCTGTGGAACATTTGTAGTGACAATCACTTGTTCTTGTCCGGGTGTAGTTGTTCAGAAATACATCTTCCATAAACGCCGGGAAGCACTTTAAGCTCTTCGTTGCGGAGTGATCCCGGCAGTTCGAAAGGTTCGAGTTCTTGTTAATACGTTAAGCTGTTAAGACTGCATGCTTGTCCTTGTGTCCTGTCTCGGCATAAGTTGTTCTTGCAGGGACACCGCTGCTGCTAAAGCAGAGCGTGTTCGAGCGGCTTCTGTCGGGGAAGACCCTCGGCTTGCAATTGAATTGTTTTCGGTTTACCCATACTACCACATGCGGTTTAAGCTGAAGTCGTACATAGTTGCTGCAGAGAGTTAAGATTGAATCCTGAACCCCATAAGTACCCAATCCACACGACGAGTTGCGCAGATTTGATGAAGAAGTCGGGCACCAAAAGACGCCGAAATTGCTCTGCCTGTTAGTAGTAGTAGTAGTAGTAGTAGTAGTAGTAGTAGTAGTAGTAGTAGTAGTAGTAGTAGTAGTAGTAGTAGTAGTAGTAGTTTTAGTTTTAGTAGTTTTAGTAGGGGTACTGGCAGTGGTACTGGTAGTGGTAGTGGTCGTGGTCGTTGTCGTGGTAGTAGTAGTGGTAGTGGTAGTGGCAGTGGCAGTGGTGGTGGTAGTGGTAGTGGTAGTGGTAGTGGTAGTGGTAGTGGTAGTGGTAGTGGTAGTGGTAGTGGTAGTGGTAGTGGTAGTGGTAGTGGTAGTGGTAGTGGTAGTGGTAGTGGTAGTTGTTGTTGTCGTCGTTGTGGTAGCAGCAACTATTTTAGAATATAACCCTTTCAATAAGCCTTATGCTGCGGCAACCTTCTAGTAATACTTGTCGTGACGTTTATGGTTGCCCTTATACCAACGCTTAATTTAGTAGGCCTCATAATACCCGATAGAGTCTTCTTGGACAAGGATGCAACTCAGCAGTTTTCCAGCTTCCGACATCTCTGCCGCGCAGGCAAAGGCTTAGGGTTCTCGTGTTGCTGGGAAGATTTGCCAATTCTTAGCTCGAAACCGGTGCCGTTAGCATTTTGGATCTCAATTTATCCCCCCAAGCAGACAACGACGAATCAGCCGGATCGTCATTCATGCAGCCCTCCAAGTCTCCAAACAGTCCGAAGTAGGTACTGTACTATTTTCGACATTTATAGACGTAGGTACTATTTGTATACTTGGAGTCTCAGGGGTACGATCTACCTTTCAGTCGTGGAATATGGCCTTGGAGGGGCTGGGAGTCCTGAGTTTCAAGCCAAATCGTGCGATTCCAGTTATATATAGGGACAACAATGAAGAGGGATCTGTTTCCCCCATTCCCTACTTATGTTATTGGGCATTATATGGGGACTAGTTTTCCAGAACTGGTCTGGGGCAGACAGCCCTGGCCCTGAACCCCCTAAAGCCGACAACGGGATCTGCAGGATAGTAAAGCGCTCTCTCTGTCTGCACATATGTATATTTACATACACATAATATCAATAATACCCATAGTAGTAACCATAAGTAAACGCGACAGGTATATAAGTATATGTCTACGTATGAGTCTATCTCGGATTCTAGTTGGCTGAAATTCTTCACCAAAGCAATACTCGTACTAGACGTGATAACAACTTCTACACATTTCAAAGTAAGAGTACTGATCGCAATACAGCATAACATCATGCAGTAGAAGCGAGTATAGAGTCGAGCTTAACATTCAAGTGTATCTTTACTTCTTCTTCCAGCACTCTTAGTTCATGTATGTGCATACATACTTCGGGCAGATCAGCCCCAAAAGACGAAGCCCTTCACCACCCTAACCGCCAGACTCAAGCCCCAAACCCAACACCCAAACCATAAAGCCTGATCCGATAAAACGCAACACACATCTCGGACCTGATCTCCAAAGATGCTTGGGTGCCGTTCCACGCCACGTTCTCTTAGTTCGAGGTACCTACTAATAGCTTAAACTAAAGTTTAGAGCGTCGGGTTAAGGTACGAGGGTTTGGGGGTTTCGCATCCAGTTGGCAATTTACTATAAGAACCATCCGAAAACCGCCCAAACCTTAGGGCAACCTCCACAGGGAGACGTGAAGCATCTTTCTTTGGCGCAGTTGCTCGCCGTCTGGACCTCACAAGGTCGGGGCAGTTTGGAGATTTCTTGTCTTGCAACATTTATTCGCAAGCAGCAGGATGTCAGGTTTTGGATTTAGTTTTGTGACGCGATCACTTTTCTCGTTCCCCTCTTGCAGCTCCTAATCTTTACCATCATACCGACGATTTCTACGGACAAGCAACCGAGGATTACATATTGTATGCATCCCACACATGTGCCTTCATTGCTTATGAACGCTCGTGTGTCTCATCAGTTTGAACTAACGTGTCCGAGTTGCCAGAAGCATTTTGGTTTCGACTTTGGTTCCATGGAACCCAACAGCCTCAACAGCTTTGGCTGGAACTGAAACAAATAGGATGCTCTGGAAAGCAGTTGAAGCACCGAGATGTACATCCCAGCAGGTTCATCGCAGAGCAGCCCCAGACGGCAACCACACAAAACAAACATGTCTTTCGCGAAAGCGCCTCGATGGCCAGCTTCACGGCCGGACGCCACCCCTGGGCCCGGGGCATATTCGCCCCCATGGGGTCCACCCCCGCTACTGGCCAAGGCCCGAAAGCGCTGCCGGCCAGCTCCTGCGGCCTGGCTGCTCAGTGCTTCCCGGCGAGCCCCGTCCGAGCTGGCCCAGGCAAAGCTGCCCCCGCCAGTGTTGCTGGGCAGCGGCGGGGTGGCCGAGGTCTTGCTTGGCAAGTGGGGGACGCTGAAGGCTGCAGTGAAAACTGCCAAGCAGCCAGGATGGGATCACGAGATCCTTGCAGAAGCAGCTTTTCTCACCCGCCTTGGGCCACATCCCAACATTGTGCGAGTGCTGGGCGTGGCGGAAGGGCCCCGCGTGCACCTGTACCTGGAAATGCTTGGGCCATCGTTGACAAAATATGCCATGAAAACCCAAGCGGAGGTGGCCGACCTGGCCCAGGGATTACTGGCCGCCCTCGCCCACCTGGAGAATGGCCTGGTGGGCCACACGGATGTGAAGGAAGCGAATTTGATGTTCCGCAACCGCGACATTGTCCTCATCGACTTCGACGCTGCCATCGAGGTCATAGACCGCGAGCAACTTGTGCAGCGGAAGCCAGGAAATCTGGCGAACCTGTTTTCAGCCGTGTGGACCCAAGGGTCGTACAATCCTCTGAAGGAGGATGTCAGTGCTGCAGGAGCAGTCCTCCACAACGTGGCGGGGGACATGCTGCCCAGCCAGCTGCTGGCTTTCCTTGCAGACCTGTCTGCACCCGAAGCCCAGCGACCGTTTGCAACCGCAGCAGCCGAGCAGCTGCAGATGACCCTCGCCTGTGTAGGGCTTGTTGGACAACTGAATTGCTGAGGATCCGAAGAAGGCAGGGTTCCATCCCAAGCACATGCGAGGCATCACACAGGCGATTCCAAACACTTCCGTCAAAGGGTCCTCCTCCGATTCATCCTCCTCGCTCCTCCTCGCTCCTTATTTTTCCTGCTCGGTACAGAAGCCGTGCACTGGAAGCTGTGCTGGCGCCGGCTCGGGGTCTGTCGAAAAGCGACGGACGGGAGAATCGGCCAGCCAAGTCCAGCCGTCAATGAAATGCTTCTGCATGCCCGTAGTCTTGACTCCTTCCATACTAAGCTACGCTGCAGCCTGATTCACAATCCCTTGCAACGTGGACTACGGTGCCCGGCCGAGCTCATGCTTGGAAAAAGAGAGTTTGACATGCACTTCATGGGTTGGACACTGTGTGTGCAGTCTTCTTCCTGCTGCAAGCTTTCGAGTGTCCAGGCTTGGGGATGTCAGTTTTGGGTGAAGGCATTGCGGTTTGGTACGGGGTTTAGGGTTTAGGTGGCAGCTCCAGAAAACTCCTTGCTCATGGACCTACGTGGGCTTCTGCTATCTTTGGACTCGAGCCCGGCGGCCTCTATAGTGGTGAACCAAAAGCTCTGAGCCTGGAGCCGGGAAGCGTTGACCCTACAAGCCGAAACCCTAAAACTTCAGCATCCTAAGGTCCTAAATACCTTCACACTTTCTTGAAAGAAGTGGTTGCCTAGTACAGGTGTACCAGGATATAACCCGAAACCCTATGCTCATGATTCAGGCCCCTATACCCAGAGACTCCAAGACCCCTTAATTAAGGAATATACTTTCAATCATATCATGGATCATACTATAATTTGAGGTATGCTCCTTAAGTAAGGGCATTGGAGTCTTTGGGCATTCAAATTTCGATGACGGAAAGGCGACCTCCCTGCGGGCACCACCGGGCCTCTGGGCGCCTTCTTGTCGGCGGTAGCACTGACCTCAGAGATTTCGACAAGGCTTGCAGGCTTATGACTTTACCGTAGATATTACTATATACATATATATGTGTGTATAGAACTTCAATGCACATAATAGTGCTAACAATGTTAGCGCTATTATGTGCCTTGGGGCTAACAATACCAAGTATCACCATCATTAGTGTTATGGTGTAATACGGCCGCAGTGTCATTGTCGACGAACAGTAAAAACAATCACCATACTACAACAAGACTTCCTATGGCGGCAAGGGATTCTCACTTCATGAGTTCTTGAGCGCGAGTCGTCTGGATGTTCGGACCGGCAGCCTTGTTGTTTGTAGAAATCAATCGTTGCAGCATTTGGCAGGGTTTATGATACGCCCTGAACTCTAGGCAAAAATACCGCACATAAACCCTCAATTCCCTACACGTTAAACGGAGTCTGTGAGTCACAGGGATTAGGACTCTCAGGGTTCCAGAGGTGGAGTTTCGTAAGTGCTAAGGCGGAGCCTTGCTTTGCCTTGATCGGAGCATTTCCACAATTAAGTAGAATCGGAGTTTTGGTGTAGTAGTACACAGGCTTGGGTTGTAGGGGTGGGGAATTCGAAAGCTGGGTTTCGTTCATATATTCGGTATTTCCGATAGTAGAGGGTTACATGCCAGGGCTTGTACAGTCTGCAGGGCTAGGACACCTTACGAACGAAACAGCGAAGTGCGCGAACATCCGTGGACGCTCACCAAAAAGGCCTCGTGAATGTTCGACAACGCCACACGACATTTCCCCAACCTAAACCCCAAACCTATCTAACAACGCTTGAAGGAGCCGTTAAAGGAGCCCGAAAAAACCTGAAAGGGAACCCTGAAAGGAGTCCTTAAGGGAACCTTTAAAGAAACCCTTAAGGGATCCTTTAAGGGCTCCTTTAATTGGGAACCCTCTTTATGGGACCCGAGATTTTCCCAGGATGCCGCCGCCACAGAGCAGCTTGCAAAGCGACTCGAGGCCACTGCCGAGGCCACATCCAACAGTGTCTCATGTGACATGTTATAGTACAATATTTCTGTACAAGTACAATACACCACAATCAAATAAGACACAGTGTATATAAATATCCATATACATATATATATATATATATACCTACATACAAAACAGGTTAACTACATCACAATCGTTATCTTGTAACATTGTAGGAGCTTTCGATGGGTTGGACTTTAAGCTTTGGTTCTTTAAGCTTTGGTTTCAGGTAGGGTCTTTGGAGCTTGGGGTTTCAGGGGTTTTGTGTGGCGTGTTTGTCTAACAATTCACCAGACCAGGGTTTAGGGTTTAGGAGGGTTTAGGGTTTAGGGTTTAGGGCTCTAACTCACGTTCATGGAATCTGTTCGGTTCTAGTGCATCGTAGCTGAGTTCAAGAGCCGACCAATCAAGCATCTGATCGGCTAGTTGGCTTAATTTTTGAGTTCATCTGTGCGATTGCGCACATGCATACGCTGCGGCATGTCCTTTGAACTCTGAAGCCCAACACCGAGCAACTCCTCACTTCCCATCACTGCAGACCTGAACCCCCAAAATTAGGTAAAATTATAGCCCCAAACCTATGAAAGGCCATTGTTCTACATACTTTGGGGGTCCAGGGAAAAGCCAAAAGCAGCCCGAAACTGCAGCCAAGTCGCAGGTCGCGCAGCTTGTGCAGCTCCTGGGCTCTTTGAACCCCCTTTTAAGGGGTTCCTTCAAGGTTTGTTTATGCGCTCCCTCAAAGGATTCTTTAAGGGCGTCTTATATGGGCTTTCATCAGAACCCCTGGGCTTGGGTTGTTTAGGATAGGAACTGATACTTCCTGTAGAAGCGAGAGTATTCTCACGCGAAAACTTCCCCAAACTCTAAACCTCATATCCAACATCCCAAGACCCTAGCCGACAAAGTTGGAGCTTCTTTTCTGATTCTTCATACTTCTGGCAGTCCCGACAAAGCCACGACTGTCTAGCAGCTATCAGAAACAGCTTGATGTTGATCATAGGGGTTCAATTTGGGGATCATCATAAGGCCGATCTGCACGATGACCAGAAGGAGCAGCAGCAGCAAAGACATTGACAGCAATGAGATGCAATGAGAGTGGCTTTCGGGAATCAGGCAACTCAGGCTTCATCCAGCCCCCGAGCTGCCGAACCCTGAATGAAGCCCAATCTGTTAAACCATACAGGCGCCTTAAGCCTCACAACGCAGGAAAGCCTAAACCCTAAAAACCCCTAAACCCTAAACATTAATGCCAAACCCTTAAACCCCTAAACCCCATACCCTAAACATGAACCCTTAAACCCTAAGTACACCCAGGCTCGTCTATAAACCCAAAGCCGGAAGCACATGCTAGACATTAACCCTAAGCCCCAAACCCCCTAACCCCAAACCCTATAAGTACTCCCATACCCTACCTAGACCCCCCCAAATACCCTTTATTGTAGCGCCAAACTACCTCTTAATGAGAAATATTGTAGTCCTTTAAAGGGTACTTGGGGGGTTCTGGTAAACATGAACCCTTAAAAAGCCCTAAGTACACTTAAAGGATCATGGGACTTAGTAACTAGGGTTATAATTAGGGTAACTATACTTAGAACCCCAATTAAGGTACTTATAACCTTATTTACTAAGTCCCATGATCCTCCAAGCACCCAGGCTCGTCTATGGCGCCCGCGCCAGTGCAGAGCTGCCTCAGGCGGAGCATTGGCTCCTGCGAGCCGGGGCTCCCAAAGCGTCGGCTTCGGGGGGGTTCCTTTAAAGGGTACTATAAGGGCCACTTTAAGGGTTCTATAAGGGTCCCTCTCAGGGTTCTTGAAGGGTTCTATCAGGGTTCCGGGGAGGGGGCCTTAATGATTACCTGTAGAATAGGGTTCCTTTCAAGGGTTCCTCTTAAAGGGGCTTATGAGGATTATGCTATAAGGGGCATTATAGGGATTTCGTAGAGGGGGCTTTCATAAGTCTACTGTTTTGGAGGTTCCTGATGATAACTATAGTACAATATACGTGCACCATCGTGCACCAAAACCCTATTCTAACTATTATAAGGCTCCAATGTATGTCGGGGGGCGGGCCTCTTTAGAACACGGAAGGATTTCGGGTGATGGGTTGGACGCTCTGGCTTTCCGTAGACGCTCCCAAGCGCCGAAACTCGGGAAGGTTTAGGGTTTAGGGGCCTTGACCCAAGCCCAAAACCCCTCGTTTACTTTTGCTTGCTTCTCGCACACGTACTGAGAGGCTCATGGGTAGTTAGAAGTGGGGTAACAACTCCCCTGATATGGGAGATATTTAAACTTGCCCAACTTATAGCCCCATGCACAACTACCCATGAACCTCCAAGTATGCATGTGTCTTCGGACAGCGCCGGGTGCTCTGCGGGTTTGGGGTTTAGGGTTCAGGGCTCTCAGGCGAACCCTGAACGCTAGCCGCTGGACCCTCAAACCCTAAACCCAAGACACCAAACGGTCACCAAACTCTAAACCCTACCCTACACCCAAGACACTTACCTGTAGCCGGAAAGACCTACCCTTTTGGGGTTCCTTATTATGGTTTCTATATATAGTTCCCTCAAAAGGTAGGTCTTTTGGGCTACAGGTAAGCCTTCTAAAGCCTATGCCTCAGAGCCAATCCACCCCGTGGATGTGCCGAGGTTCCCGGCGCAGCTGACAAACTTCTTCATCTTCCGAGCTGCGAGCTGCTCTGACATGCTTTTGAGACTCCGTTTTGGGATTCCCACGGAGGGATTCGGTCTCAGGTTTAGGGTACAGAGTTTAGGGTCTAGGGTACAGGATGGTATGGGGTTAGGGTAGAGCTAAATTTGACGAAGCCTAAGCGGTACCCGGTGCTTCCACCTTCACGGCCACTCCTCACTGGAATGGCACGGATCCTCGGAGGTGGCGATCTAGGAGAAAGCGACAAAACCTAGAGTCAGACTCTAAGGCTTTCGTGGTCGTGAATGACCACGACGGCGCATGCATAAATGTATAATAAACATACATCTTATATATCAATCATGCTCGCAACCATGGGTCTAGATTCTTAGCAGTACTAGATACGTCAACGACATCAAGTAATTGTGATGCAGGCCCATGTTAAATGAACGCCCCTGCTAGAAGGGCACTAGAAACAGGCACTGAATGATAGGTTTTCATCACTCAGGAGTCTGCATTAATCTTGATTCTAACAAGATCTGCCCGCAGTCCCTAAAAACGAGCTTGAAGGAAAAGCAAACCTCAAGCCCCCAACCCTTAGCCCCAAAGTAAAGCCCTTATCAGCCCTTATAGAACCCGCATAGTAACCCTTACAGGAACCCGTTTAGGAGTGATCTTCGATGACGAGCTGAGGCTTCGGGTCTTAGAGGACCTCCCGACTCTTGCACACAGCTCTGTGAGCAAGGCCTCTTTTCGGGTTTGAGGGTTTAGGGATTAGGGTTAAGGGTTTAGGGATTAGGGTTAAGAGTTCAGGGATTAGGGCTAAGGGTTCAGGGATTAGGGTTGAGGGATTAGGGTTAAGGGATGAGGATTACGGGATTTAGGGTTTAGGGTTGTGACGGCTTTGAGGGCGCCAGGTCCTTGGGTGTGTTTGTGCTTCAGGCTTTGGGGTTCTTGTTGTTCTTTGGCTTTGGCCTCCAGGCTTACAGGCTTTTGGGGGTTTCAGGCATATCGGAGTTTCCGAAAGTTAGGGGTGCAACTTATTTTGGGGGTCCTTATAATGAGGATCCTACTGTTTAGGGTACTATTCTTGCGTCCCCAACTCCCAAGGGATACTCTGATAGCTGGTTGCCCATTACGCAAGAGCATGGGCTCAGATCTATGAAATAGGGGCTTAGATTTCCAATACTATTGTGGGGGTTCCCGTTTATAAATGTAGAATAGTGGGCCCCAAAACCCTATTTTAATTATTAAGGCCTCTATATGACCCTACGTCCAAACTACAGGCTCGGCGGATCCTTCTTCTACTCCAGTCCGACATCAGGTTGCAAACTCCTAAAAGCTGGCTACCGAGATTAGGCTGAGGTAAGATAGTGACTACCGGCACAGTGCCCCTGCAACTTGAGACTTCTCTCGGGGGATCGGGGTCACGGTTGTGTCTTGTTGGGGGATCGGAGTCGGCACTATCACGCGTCATGGATGTCTGGGTGTGGACACCGAGTGCGTGTGGGCCGACAGCTCAAAATCATGACATGCCAGCAAGGCCCTGGTGAGTGAACCCGCAATAGAGGGGTCCGAACGTTTAGGAAGGGTTATCAAGGCTCCTGCCTACATACATCACCTGAAACCCTCTGACGAGCCCTGCATGGAAGAGCAGACGACCATGGAAGCTGGCCCAGACGATGAAATTGGCCAAGAGGATATAGAGGATAAGTATCATCGCGTTTGTTTTCGCAGCCCCGTGAATGGCGAGGCTTCGTCGACATGAATATTTTTATGTCGTTTCGGGTTCAGGGTTTAGGGCTCCGACTTTGCAGTGGAGTGTATACGCTCCATTAAACTCTATAACTCAGTTTGCACACTGCCACATCAGACCCAATGTGTGTGCGTAATGTATGTGTGCATGCATTATTCTTGTAATGTGTATCTACGCATGTATGCTTGCGCACATCTATCCCCACATCCGTATACTTACATTACTCAACTGATGAGCCAGTATGGGAGTTTCCGAAAATAGGGGATCCTAATATAAAGCCCTAAATAATTAGTAGGATTCTTATTATAAGGACCCCAAAATGAGGTACCCCTAATTTTCGGAAACTCCCGTATAGCGCTGTATCTGGTTCTAGGCTTTGGTCATACTCTCACTACAAGGCTCGGCGGGCGGTTCCTGGCTCTTCGGCTCATCCTCTCCGGCTGCCTTGGATGCCCGCTCCATCATTATTATCATTATAATTATGATTATTATTATTTCTATTATTATTATTCATTATTATTTGTTCTTATTTTTATTATTTATTGGTGCATCGTCTCCCGGCTCTGCTCTGCGCGTCTTGTTGCGGAAATCTTGCTCCCGCTGCAGTCCCGTGCTCATAGTTGAGTTTTCAAGACGCTTGAAAGCTCTAATACTGGAGTTGCTTTAAAACATTTCGTGATCGTGCTCCCGCCACAGTGCCTGTCGTTTTCGTGGGAGGCGACGTCTTCCCGTCACAGCCACAGCTTTGCGTGTTTCTGGAAGTCGTGCTCCCGCCATAGGTCCTTGCAAGTTCTGCAGGGGTGCCAATGGTGCTCCCGCCAACATGTGGGTGGTTGTCAAAAGTATGGTCCCTCTTTGGGTTCCTGTTATAACACGGCACCTATTATTTAGGGTACCCCAAAGAGGGACCCTAATCTTGATCATCACCCATGTCTTACACCGTTGGGCTGGTCAGGAATGGTTCTTGGGCATGTAGGGCTTCGACAGGTACACTAGGCGTCTCTTCACTGTTTGGCAGACTTAAAGCATTTCTGAAACTGTTGGTACGATGCCCGCAAGATCTGGACAGTGAGCACCACACATAGGGGCTTTGAAGACTGGTCAAAGCGGAAGTTTGCATCCCCTCGAGGTACTAGCTGAGCTTTACCTTGATCGTGAGACTCCTCTCCTCGAGGAGGCTGAGTATAGTAGCCTACGGGACTTGCTTCCCTTTCAGCTTCTCTACGACGGCCTGAATTGTGATCGCAGCACTTTGGCCGACCTGGGTGTTCCACACGGGTCTGATGTCTCGGTCGACCTCGTCCGGCTGGCGAAGCCGAAAGAGTTCAAGAAGCTTGCTGACATCGACGTTCATTCCGAGGGGTACCACTGTCACGATAGCTATATGGTTCGATTGGCATGCCAGGATCCCCAGCGATTCTGTTTGGGCTTTTGTCGTCACTTTCATGGGTCGGACTTCCATACACACAGGAAGGCGATCAGGGAGGGGAAACTTGCGCGAGATCAGCCGTACTTCGAAGAAGTCGTGGTGGTGGATATTGCTCAGAAGATCCTCTCTGGGGAGAGCACCCAGAATATGTTCCGCAGTGTCTGTCGCTATGAAGACAAGGGGGCTGGAGGCTTCAGGGTCGTCAGGCCTTTGGCACTTGCAGAAGATGAAAGTGTTTACCTCCTATCAGCGATAAATGGTGCAGGAGGTGCTCAAGAGTACCAGATACATCGTGCTGCGCGCAACTCCCAAGGCACGGACCCGGAATCACTTGAACTGCTGTTCAATGCCGGAGACATGTGCATCTTCAACTGCATCTTCGCAAAGGGCTGCCTGTTCGCTCTTGCCGCCAAAGCCGACGGCGAGAGTAACTAGGTGAGACTTTAGATTTAGAGGACTGACTCATCACCCGATGTTTTTGAGCTGTAAGGGAGTCTCCTTTCATGACAACCTTTTGAGGGCCCCTCAAATTATTATCCTAAACCCCCAAGCCCTAAACGCAGGTAAGTACATACTGGAGCTCAGACTGTGTGATGGCCTGTTTACCGAGCTACGGCGGGTTCCTCTCGTGCCGCCCAGCTGCGGGGGCTGGGCTCGGAGCGAAAGACAGAGGCCTCGCTTCCTCTGTCTGGACGATACAGGTGACTGGGCTCTTGTTAAGGAGCCTATTTTAAGTTGCCATGATCGGGATCTATAGTAAATAATGTGGTTAGCTTATTACATAATCTAAATTAAATCCCTGAGCGAGAACCCAGGTGATGCACTGTGGGTGAACAGCTCCGTTGCTCTGCTTGTACTTCCTCTTGACACCTTGGAGCCTCACGCCTGTTGCCTGTGGAAGGACCTGCGGGTGGCAGAGCCACGCGAACACTTGCAGCTGCATGTTAGGAGTGTGCTGCTTCACAAACAGACACGTGAAGTCTACCTACTCTTTGACAACAGCACCGGTGTCTTTCATACTCGTTATCAGACTGAGATCGATGACCTATCGGTGTATGATCCTTGCTTTGTTCGACGCTTGATCCCATCTCCAGCGATCGGGCCGCCATGGAAAGTGTGCTACGAAGATCTTCCAGGGGACAAGGTTGCCATTGGCGATTTCTGTATTGATGGTTTCTCGGATTCCTTCTGCATCACTGAGTCCCACATGCTGGAGTCCCCCTCTGCCCAGCACCTGCAGGTCTTGGATGCAGAAGGGGGCTTTTGGGACCTGAAAATTTAAGATAAAGGCTGGTTCCCACATAGAAAGCACGCCCAGTCGCGTGCTACAAGCTGGCGACGCGAGCGGCTACCGAGATGACGCCGGACGGATACGCAAGTACATGCGCGAGGGCCCAAATCAGCTGCAGTTTTTTGAGCTACAACCGGAGAAGTAGCTACCCCAAACCCGAGCTATCTTGGTTTGGGGCTTAGCAATGAAGTTTCTGACTCCGACCCCCCCATAACAGCCCATGACTTCGGTGAGGCAGGCGCTGCGGTGCCCAGGGAGAGGCGGAAGCTTCACTGGGAGGCCAGGGCTAGTGGCTTTTCATGACTTCTAGGATGCCCAGTAGTACCCTTATTCCCTTTTTGTAGTCTTAGGTTCCTTAAAAAGTTACCCAATAGCAAAAAGAGAGGCCTTGTTATTCTTAGGTTACTGGGTATCCTAGACTTCATCTTCCGGGTTTCAAGAAGGCTTGCTTTCAGGCTTCCTACAGGCTGACGGCTTCCGCATGACAGTCAGTGAGTACGGCGTCACCTGGACATCAACAATGACAAGGATATACGTACAGTTACGTGATCGCACATAGCATAGTACCATCTTAGCGTTTTCAGAAGATGTCTTGAGACTGCCAGAGTGATGTGCTCGGTCTTTTGAAGCAGCACGAAACTGCATTTGTGGCACTAAATTCTGCAGGTATGATCAGATCAACATATTATCGGCCTTGGTTTGGTTCTCTCGAAGCTTCGGCCACGGCTCATCCACACAGCTGCGACATGCCTTCCTCCAAGAATTAAGCCTTCGGGAACCTTCAGTTCGAATAAGTCGTGTAGCAAGCAAAGAGTTTTCAGAGGGGTACCTGATTTTGGGGCCCTTATAATAAGGATCCTACTATTTAGGGCCGCATTCTCGCAGGTTCAGCTGTGCGAGAAACCCAGCGAGTTCAAGGACGGCGAGTTCAGGGCGAGATCGGGCTACCGTCATCGACTAGGATGCCCAGTAGTACCCTTATTCCCTTTTTGTAGTCCTAGGTTCCTTATAAAGCTACCCAATACCAAAAAGAGAGGCCTTTTTATTCTTAGGTTACTGGGTATCCCAGTCGACTGCAAAGGAAAGAAGTCTATACCCCACCCTGAAGCATTATGGAAGCCTTAAGAATCTTGCTATCCGCCCGATCTAGTATAACCCTTATAGAACCCTTGAGCCCTATAGCATCCCCCTAAACGAACTTGAGAAGGGACCTACGAAAGCGGCCTTAATAATTACCTATACGATTTTGGTGGTTCCATATTATAGTTATTAATATCCCCCCCCCCCCCCCCCCCCCCCAAAGCCCTATTCCAATTATTCAGGCCCCTATACGACGCCATTATAGTCGCATAGTATCCCTTACAGTAGCTCTTATTAGGAGCCCTTTAAAGGAACCCTAGTCTAATTACTAAGGCCCCGTATATTACCTCAAGGAGCGGGCTCCCACGCGAATGTCCATGGCGGAGCGCCGAGCGTCCGGAGAAGCGAGGCGGCCTCATAGGGTTTTGGGTTTAGGGTAATATGGGAGTTGCCGAAATTAGGGGTACCCTATTTTGGGGTCCTTATAATAAGGATCCTACTATTTACGGTACTATATTAGGGTCCCCAATTTTCGGAAACTCCCATAGGAGGACCTTGAAGATGAGACAAGGGTTCTTTTGGGATTTGTAAGAGAGAGCCTTGATATTTATTGGGGGTATGGATGTAATTATACAATATAAGGACCTTAAGGATTGGTCGGTTTTAGGGTCTTAGGGTTTAGGGTTCATGTTTGTGTCATAATATAGGGCCTTATGGATTGGAAAAGGGTTCTTTGAAAATAGCGGCCTTGAGGATCAGAAAAGGTTCCTTCTGGGGAGTTTCAGAGGGGCCTTGATATTGGGGTATAGTATACTATAGTCATAGTAACGACCTTACGGACGAGTAGTATGATAAGTATTCAACTATTCTGGATTTTATGGTAATGTGAGAGCATTAGATATGCACCAATCTCAAAGCCGACCCACGGACCCCCTTCAGCTTCCTCAAATTTTCGGAGCCGAGTCTGTAAGTGGAGACAAAGGAGCTCAACTGTCGCTTCGGCGATCACCACTCAAGATTTTGCTGCCAGGTCAGGGATCGTACCTAGGGCGGTGGATTCACCAAGATGCCAGCGGGAATGTGCTAGTGTTAGCATCTAGTTCATTACTCAAAGGCCCCAAAGTAGTTCCTTTTTGGGGTTCATATAAAAAATCCTATAAGGTAATCCCCAAAAGGAACTGCTTTGGGGCCTCTGGGTATCTGTTGCAGTGAAGCTCTGGGACTAGAACTGGGTCGTATCGACAGACTGTTGCCTGGCAAACACTACATCTGTGCTGCAATCGGGTCTGCAAGTCAATCATTCGCATCAGCCGATTTCGCGTTATTAGGTCTTAGTTGAGAATTTGGCTGGGAGCTGGGACAACATCGGATCAGCTGGATGAGATCCAGCAATCTTTGAGGCATATTTGCTGGTGCAGCGAATTTCTCATCACGAACACCGCCAGCAACGGCAAGAGCAGCAGCAGCAGCAGCAGCAGCAGCAGCACCACCGCCACCACCACCACCACCACCACCACCACCAATAAGAACAACAACGACGACACACAGCAACACCAGAGTTGCTATGGCCGCTACGACTTACGGCTACGACTACATCCGAAGCGGAAGCCCGAAGCCTTTCAGGCGTTCGCTTCCCGGTCGCGGCTATCCAAAGTCGGCTCCGAAAGCTGCAGAGGCCGAGGTAGCGCCGCCTCCCTGGCAGAAGCGCTGATTTTGTGATTATGATATGTTTAGGGTTTAGGGCTACTAACAACTATGGTGTTTGTATGTGAGATGCCGTTACTGTTAGTCTTCTTCCTGTCGTGGTCATGTTTTCCACCCTGGCCTTAGCGGCTAAGTTTTGTTCTTTTGCGTGCTTACAACTGGTGTGGAATCGACTTACAAGCAAGATTATGAACAGCATTGGGATTCATGATAGATAAAGATGTGATCATACGGTTTTACTTGTCTTTGGCTGACAAGACCCTGCAGGGGTCAGGGGAAGGAAAAATGCCCTTCGGAGTCTTTGCTACTAGTTACTAGTAGACGGCCTCAGTTGCAACAGCGTCCCTGTGCTGCGGTCGAGCGATTCTCGGGGTCTTACTTTGCGTTTGCAGTGTTGATCAGATGCCACAGCGATGTGAAGGCTGCATCAGAAGAGGAGGAGACCGCAAGCGAAGAGAGCGATGACGAGGCCGGAGCATTCCAGCAATCTTACCAGGCTGCTCCATCTGAACGTCCGTTGCGCAGGTTACACACACGCACATGCACCAGCGAAAAAAGAGCGAAAAAAAAGAACTCACAATGTCTACATGCCCTAATCCTTATTAAGCCTATAAGCAGAATCCCAAGCCGCATAAATAAAGCCTCAAACCCAACACCCCATTGCACACTGGAGCCTCAGTTGATGTGGGTGCAGCCACAGGTCCAACCCGGGAGTCGTCCGCGAGTGGCGGCTGCAGGGCTTTGCACAACAGCCCAGGTGCCCGCGAAGCGGTAGTATACTATGCGTTCAAAATCAGTTGCATCTATGTACCCTTTTCCTATACCATAAACCGTACTTGACATACCACGCCATACCATACCATGTTATACGTTTTGCAAGGTTTCTCTGCAAGTTTGGTCCTACCATTGCACGACGGTCGCATAGCTGCTTTGCCCGTGGGCTCGAGTTACCTAAATGGTGTGTGACTGGGCTACATGCTATCTGGTTAGTATCCTACTATTTACTATAGGGGCCTAAATCGTTGTCGTTACCTATACTATTTTTGGGGTTCCTTATTATAGTCATAGTATAGTGGGCCGCAAAACCCCAGTCCAGTTATTAGGGCCCCTATTTATTTCTCAAATGCAGCCCCAGGCCTGCTCAGAATCGGACCGGAATTTTTGAGTGCCTGATCGCAGTTGCGTTAGCCGTTGCCGATGATTCGGCCTGCACACGTCCCCTTCGCAGGCCGATATTCCGATATGCATGTGGATCATGTGAATCCCGTTGTGTTTTTCTCTCCCGACTCCCCCTCTCTCTGTCTGCTTCTCTGTGCTTCGGCCGCCGACTCTGTGGATGAAACACAAAGCCTCGAGGCTCAAGCCCTGGGTGATGCTCCGAAAGAGGCGGCTTTTCGGCAAAGCAGAGCCGCTGCGCCGGGATTTCTTTTCGATCTGGGTCCTGGTATCATATTCAAGCTCCTACTAACTACTAGTTTTCTTGTGTTACTTGGCTCCCCAATTTTATGAAACGCCCATGTTTATGATGTGAGGTTGGAAGTTGCAAGGCAGATACTCTCTGTCACCTTGCGGTGCACAAGCACCGGCGCTTGCCAGTCGGGATGAGGCTGTTAGTCCATGTGTGATGGTTCGACGCAAAGACCTCCGATCCAATGAGATGTACTGCAATAGATCAGTAGTAAAACATTCATCCTGATGCGTATCATCGTATTGCCATGATTGGTTCTACAGTCATATCAGTCAGTAATCAGTTGCAAAAAGTTAAAGAACAATGCTGTGCCATACGTTGCGAAACTTCCGCAGGTCTTCCATCCCTTCCGACTCAGAGAGGGCTTGGCCGCACGGTTAGGGCAGAGGGTCAGTTCGAATTAACATCCCTGACTGACAAAAGCCATCCGAGTCCTAATCTCAATTTTTGCCTGCTAGTCTCAGAACTATTGTCTATAGGGGCCTTCAAAATTACATACACTATTTTGGGGGTTCCTTGTTATAGTTGTAGTATAATCGGCCCCAAAACCCTATTCTAATTGTTAAGGCCCCTATATTATTGCTCACGTTTCTGTCTTCCCGGTCCGAAGTCCCAAACGTGTCAGCGCCTCCTTCCTGTGGTCGCGAAGGTGGCCTCTGAACAGCTCTCCAAACTCCGTGAAGAGTTGAGAGCCAGCGCGGATGCCGAGGCAAGATGGGATTGATGGGACCATCTCGGTTCCAGGGAATTTGGCACGTGTCTGTATGTACATTTATGTTTTGCGTATACAGGTACGTTTGCTTTACTTATATATATATATATATATATATATATGTTTTTTCTTATTTGCACGCACATACTTTGTAAATCTCAAAGTAAACATGTAACTATGTGTTTATAATATGTACAAACTTGAATATGTACACATGTATATGCATATGCATATGTGTATGTATATTTGTACGTGCATGTGTATCTGTATGTTTATGTATGTATGTATGTATGTACGTATTTATGTATGTATGTACGTGTGTGTACATACGTATATATGTATGTGTGCATGATCAAAGGCATGCATGCATGCTTGTATGTATGCGCAGCCAGACGAGGCGCGGGCCAACGAAGCCAGCGAAGAGCTCCGCCGTGAGCTCGCAGCCGCCAAAGAAGCCGAGGCGTTTTGGAATTCCCGCTTTAGGAGGATTAGATTAGAGTTGCAGGGCTCAGGGTTTTAACTGTTTAGGATCTACTGTAAACTGTAGACTATACAGAGTACACTCTATACTTCATACTCCGTACACTATTTTCCTATACTTGCCTAGACTATACAAAACTATAGCCGGAAACCCTATTTCAAGTATTGAGGCGCCTTTGTTCACTAGGTTGCAGTCGCCACGTTTCAGGTTGAAGCCGCCGCTCGCGCCGAGCAGCTCCAGGCCGACCTTGCAGCGGCCAAGGAGAGTGAGGCAGGCTTTGGGTTTATAGGATGAGTGATATTTGTATGTTGCCAGGACTTAGTAAGTAGGTTGTAGATAATTAATGTTGCAGTAAGTATTCCAATAACGACGACTTGAAGGTTCATGGGTAGTCATAAGTGGAGTTTCAAGTCCCCGAATATGGATTGTAAGTATAGCAGCCCTACTTACAACCCTACTATTAGCTACTCATGAACCTCCAAGTACCCCACCTATAGCTCGTTATAAATACCCGGATCCCTGAAGTAGTCCTTAGCTTGCATAAGCAGCAGCATCAATGGCTAGCAAGGATAGTCCTTTGCAAGCGCCCCGTTTGTTTTCGCTGCACAGTGATGATGGTGATGACGATGATGAGGAGTATGATGTCGACGATTGGGACAATGCTCATGATGCTGCTTGCCGTGACGACGCTGATGACCATCTTCGAGCAAATTGACTGTAACGATGATGTTCAAGAGAAAGGCTGAGAACTATTATGGCCGCTGCGACCTGAGCTACTGGCCATGGTGATAGTGATGACCAAGGGACCAAGGCGATGATGGAGGCTATTCTTTTCGCGGTGCTCTCCATGATGATGCTGCTGACCATGGTCAGGGTTATGATGATGGTGATGATGAAGATGGTGCTGGTAGGGATCACGCTGTTGTTGGCGATGATGGATGACTTCGCTGACGGCGATGACGTTGATGAAGAGGACTGATGACAACGGCAGCATAAGTTCTGACAGACGTTATTCGCTGGCTTCGGTGAGCGTGTCGATCAGGATGATTTTGCTCACATACATGATGTCGAGAGTTCCATTAACATTAACTGGATTGTTGGAGCAGCACCCTAGCTTTAATAGACTAACACCGGCTCACACTACGGTATGGGCCAGGATACAAAGACGAACAAACATGGCAAATGCCTAGCATCTGCTGGCAAAACTCTGGTCAAACGAGCCGCAGCTTGAACTTGCTTCCGGGAGCTACCCGCTAGTAGAATTCTGACAATAACAAGCTTGGCGAGTGAAGACGCGACTTACTGTAAAAAGGACAAGTATATGTGCTTGCCGAATTGCCGCAGTAGCAGCGAAAATGACAGACACCCAGAGGCCCCATGGTAGTTCCTTTTTGGGATTACCTTATAGGATTCTATATACGAATCCCAAAAAGCAACTACCTTGGGGCCTTTGGGCAGATGCAGCAAGCTTCACACACCAGGTCGAAGCCGTGGCTTGCGCCGAGCAACTGCGGGCCGACTTGGCAGCGGCAAAAGAGGGGCAGGCCCCTCTTGTGGGACGTGTAACCTTTGCAGATGGTGCTATGTGAGCCTTGCATCGCGATTCAAGGATGGTTGATCATCTTCAGATAGAAGAAAATGGACTATTTCTGTCAGAAATACCGCCATCCTTCCGTCTTATCTGCATTCCGGCACCCTGGACTTCCAATATTCCGGTCGGCTCTCCAAGGCTCCTCAGGCAAGGGGCAGCTCCACGCCTCCAGGATCGATCGATGTTTAGCCAGCGAATCTTTTGCAAGCAGCCGGTGTTGGTAGTGAGTGGTGGTCAGGATGAGGATGATCTCTGGAGATGACGATGACGGCGATGCATCGGAATAATTTGACTTGTGACAGTTTGACACATGCCAATCGGTTCGGGCTCGTTTTGTGCTTGCAGTTATCGAGCAGGGCTTGCGGATGTTTCGTCATTCTGAGCACTTTGCGCTAATTACGGTGGTGGCCGCGGTGGTGGTGGTGGTGATGGTGGTGGGATCAGGGCAGGACTTAGACGCTATTCCGGAGAGTTGCAGGCACAGTCGTCGTGGTCGCAGCGAAAATGTATGCACACAATGACGGCTGCAGTCCCCACGTGTCAGGCCGAAGCCGTGGCCTGCGCCGAGCAGCTGCGGGCCGACCTGGCAGCGGCCAAGGAGGGCGAGGCCCGTGTAGAGGTGAAGACATGCTATGAGAAGGCCAGGCAGAAGAACAGCGACGTGACGCATAGTAACGGGAGTTGTCAGCAACTACAAGAAGGAACTGGTCTTACGAATTGTGGTCGTGGTTGTCAGGAGGCTGAATCATGTCGCATGCAAAGAGGGTGGCGACAGGGGAGATGACGAAGATATCAACAACAGCCATGTTAAATGTAGGCAAATGCAGTGCAAGCAGTATTTGCAACAACTTAAGTACAAACGTCACGACCGATTTCATTCGGATATGATGCAAATAGTTTCAACTTCAGACTTCGCAGCGCCAAAGCTAGGAGCAGTAGGCGCAAGACTAATGGCAGCCGCACGACTCGCGTTGATGCTAAAACAACGCCATCAAAACAGCCGTCATCTTCGCAACCGTCATCATCAATGCCCCCTTACAACCTTCTAAAACCCTAACCTAACTCCTAAGCTCCCCAATACCCCAGTCGCCCAATCCTCCCTCCGTTTCCAAACAAAACGAGAGAAACGATGGAGTTCCACACCCAAGGTCTGTAATTCATATATATATATATATATATATATATATATATATATACATACATACATGCGTGCATACATCTGTATACATATATGTATATATATATATATATATATATATATATATATATACACACACACACATGGTCCCCCCCCCCCCCCCACCCCCCGACCCGCTCGAGTGAGGCCGAAGCCGCCGCGTGCGCTGAGAAGCTGCGCGCTGATTTGGCAGCTGCCAAGGAGAGCCAGGCCGGCCCCCACCCTGGCTTCTTGCTAATAAGGCTTTGTTTTAAGTTGCCATCATTTTGGGGGGTGCCTTGAATTTAAGGGATCTATAAGGGCTCAGTATAGGGTTTAGCGGTTTAGGGTTTTATTTAAGTTACCATAGTAAGGAATCATTCAATCATATTTACTGTAGATCCCGTTTTTGGAAAGTTCCCAGCCTCCAGGGTTGGGCTTTTGGGTGTCTCTGTGCGGTTTTTGGTTGAGAAAGGTGAGGACTTGTCTGCATACCGCTGAGGGTTGATTGAGGGTTGCGAGGGGTTTCGAAAGTGATCTTTTACGGTTTTGGGGAAGTAAGAATCTTTGGAAGGTTTCTTCGGATGTGCATGCCTCGCCATTTGAAGCTGCGGGCCTGGGAACGACTCAGACCTGTTGGAATGAACTGTTGTTACATGGAGGGGATGTGCGCTAATCCGCAAATCGTATAATAAAAGCAGTGACAGGTCTGCTGTAGCTTCGGATGTTTTGGACCATGCTCCCATATTGTATCTTTAGCCTTTCGAGCTTGGCTGCCGCAAGGTCCTAGTTTGCCAGTTTCCTTGAGAAGCCGAGTTTCAGCTTGTCGCGGTCCTTAACTCATGCTTGTATGGCATGAGCAATGGAGAACGAGTACTGTTCCACTTCGGTGAGTAGTATTTCTACTAGTGACTCAATGACCCCAGATTAGGAGGATCGACACGTCGCGGTTTGTGAAGGAACATTGGTTCAAGAAGCTGTAGATCGAGGGGCCGCCTGGCGGTCCTTGTGGGTGGGTGGCCCAGCCGCCACAGCATGGCTGAGCCGGTACCCCTAGAAACCTTCGAGCGCGCTCCTCCAGCCCGCTCCGGAGGCGGGCAGTCGTCGTCCTCCTTCGCGTATCCTCCCGGACGGGCCGACGGCGATGACGAGGAGCGACGGCGGCGTCAGCAGGAGCTTGCAGGGGACGAGGAGCTGGCCCGCAATCTCGCGGCCCAGTTGCGCTTGACCTCCCCAGCAGAGACGACAGAAGCAGGTGGCCTGCAGTCAGAGGCCTTTCGGGACGACGACAGGCGGCTACCCCGAGTAGGAGACCGAGGCCCTGACAGTCCATACAGAGGTGATACAGACGACAGGATCCCTGGAGTGGAGTATCATGCCATGGACTCCGACACCGAGGATGCCTTCTATGCAGAACCTCCGAAGGCCGCCGGATATCATCATGTTATCTGCAACGTCCTCGTCAACCTTTTCCGATCATCCGGGTGGGGCTCCCGCGTGCAGAATGCCACAGACATGAGGTTCAGGTGAGCCTGCAATCAATCATGAAAGTCCGGGGTGGACACCTCGAGCACTCTAAGGATGAGTTACGGAAGCTGTGATAGTCTCAACTTCAGGCTCAGCTGGACAGTATTTTCGAGCCCTGCCCCAGGAAACTGAAACAGGCCTGGGCAGGATGATGAATCCTAATATTCCGTCCCTCAAAGATCAAACCCCGTGCTGAGCAACATATGGGGTAGTTATCAGTAGGGTAAAGGTTCTATAGGGTTTAGGCTTTAGGGTATAGTAGGATTATAGGGTTTAGGGGTAGTTATAAGTAGGCTTACAGTGGAGCCATGCTGTAGGTGGAGAAACCGGTGTGGAGCAAAACGGGGGTTCCAATCTTAGGGGGAGGTAAATGCGAAGCTGCGACTTCCATTGTCTCGCCAAAAAGGGAGAGTGCGCCGTGCAAGCAAGCAGCGGAAGTCCATCCACAAGCCGTGAAGGTAAAATTGTGGTTTTCGGTAAAGCTTTAATGATGAACCGAAACACAAGGAGTATTACTAACAGTAATTCAGCGTAACACGCGGAATCATGATCTTCTTATTCATTGTCATCATCATTACGACATTTGTCATTGTGGTCTAAAATCACATTGCAGGTTCCGGATAAACCAATCTCTTCCAGAAGCCCTAAACTCCTCAACCTAAGCATCCCCAAACCCCAAACCCTAAACATCCCCGAGCCCTAAACCCTCAACATCCCCAAGCCCGATAAACCCTAAAGATCCCCAAACTCCTAAACCCTAAAGATCCCCAAAACCCTAAACCCGCTATCCGAAACCTGTACTTGGAGGTTCACGGGCAGTTCTAAGTGGGGTTATAAGTAGGGTAACTACCCTAAGGCTCCAAAGTAGTTCCTTTTTGGGGTTCACATATAGAACCTATATAAGGTAATCCCGAAAAGGAACTACTATGGAGCCTCTGGGTATACTTATAATCCATATTAGGGGAGTTGTAACCCTACTTATAACTACCCCTAAACCCTATAATCCTACTATACCCTAAACCCTAAACCCTATAGAACCGTTACCCTACTGATAACTACCCATGAACTTCCAAGTAGCCCGGTAACTATACTTATAACCCATATTAGGGGACTTAGAACCTTACTTATAACTACCCATGAACTTCCAAGTAGCCCGAAGGTGGACCCGGAGGAAGTGCAGCAGCTTCGTTCGGAGCTGTCGGCCGCCAAGGACTGGAGGGTGGCTGCTTGGAGGGTCTCTAGGGGACTTATGTAGTAAGGGCTCCTTTAAAGGGGATTCCGAGGGTTCCTTGAAAGGGCTCTGTAAGGGTAGTCTAGGGTTTAGGGTTCAGGGACTTAGTAAGTAGGTAGTTAGTAGACTTATAAGTACCCTAAAAGGGACCCTGATTGGGGCTTATGGTACTTATAAGTCCCTAAAACAACCATGCAGTTACTAGGTCCCCCGACCCTCCAAGGGGGGGTGGCCTCCGTCTCTTCGGACTCCTTGCAAGGAAGCCTTACTATGGTAAGCCTTAAACGGATACCCTGGTTATAGTAACCCTTGCCCCGTTTCGGGAACCCTTAAGGATTACGGCAAGGGTTCCTTGAAGGGTTCCCTTTACTGTAAGAGCTACTATGACATCTCTCTCTCTCTCTCTCTCTCTTCCTTCGTCGGGCGTTTGTGGAAGCATCGCAGGCGGCAGCTGACGATGAGTCGGCCAAGCTGCGGGCGGAGCTCACATCTGCTCGTGATGCCGAGGCCATAGGGTTGCTGGCTTGATATATATATATATATATATATATATACACATGTATATATATATATGTATATATATATATATATATATATATATATGAATATACGGTTGGCAGCCCATGCAACGAGCTTTTCCGCCTTCTGCACGATTCCTTGCAAAGGTGCAACATGGCATTTCGTACTCTCCATCTCTCGTAAAGCCCATCGCCGCCATCAGATAGAGTCGACTTAACCCTGCACCCTAAATTCCAGGCCCTCGCTGCAGATGAGTGCGCCAAGCTCCAGCGTGAGCTGGCCTCTGCGCGTGACGCAGAGGAGCGCTAAGCGGTTTGCACTTCATGTTGGGATGGGATGCCTAGGATGCAGAAGCCCGGAAACTTTTGAAAAAACGCCACAAGCCTCGATCTCGATGCCACAACTGCGGCAAGGAGCAGACTAAGAGTGGTACGTGTCAATAGCCATGATATTTTTCGACGTCACAAGATGCCTCGAATCGCCCCCAGCCCGGGTGCTGTGCAGGCACTGGCGGCTACAGAGGTGGAGAAACTGCAAAAGGAGGCAGGTGAGTGATGCTTGGGACAAGACTGGGTGGGCTCAGATCCTAATCTCGAAACCCTGACCCAAATCCATTGATGCTGGATGGGGAGCTAAAGCGTCTACATACGCTGTGCTTCTGCAAAAGAACAACTGAACTCACTCGCTTGAAGACTGTAGCTTGCTGCCGTCCAGGTGACGAGCGCACGCGATGCCGAGGTCGGCAGCGGTGTTGGGACTGGTTCCATGATTCCTGGGGTATCCCTATCTGTATCGTTTTATCTGCAATTTCGAGACACACATTTCTACATGTGTTTGTTTGCTATTCCTGTGGTCCAAAACAGCCTGCGCACATCTAACGCAAAGAAGCCGCGGAGCTCCGCAGATTGTGCACTTCAAGGAGCTGTGTTATCGTGACGGTTCCACTTGAAGGTTCATGGGTACCCTAAGGCTCCATAGTAGTTCCTTTTGGGGATTACCTTATAGGATTCTAAATATGAACCACGAGAAGGAACTACTATATGGAGCCCTAGGATGTGATAAGTAGGCTGCTTGCAATTCTGAGGCTCGCGTCGCCGAGGAAGTGGCCCGGCTCGAGGTGGAGGCCACCCGATGATTTCCAACAATATCGGGGCCCAAATACTTCCCAATACTGTTTCGGGGGTTCCTGATTATAAGTACAGTATACTGGGCCCCTGAATCCTATTCCAATTATTAAGGCCCCTTATATGAGCCCTATATGTGAGCTCTGCAAATGTAGAAGCTAGGCTGTCACCTTACTAAGAGGTTCTTTGCCTTACAGGATATCTTGTTGCCACCGGCTGGCAGACATCGATTCCGTGCTCGTAGTGACGACTGGTTCAGGTTTGCGTCGTTTTGGGGGATCTAGGAGTCTTCAGACAGGGTTTGATTTGAGTGCCCGCAAGGAGCAGATGCAGTAGCAGCAGGCGAATAGTATAGTCGTCGTCGTTTGGTCGCACTGATAGTCAGTAGTGGTTATGGTGGTGGTGGTATGACAACAGTAGCAGCAGCAGCAGCAGCAGCAGCAGCAGCAATAGCAGCAGTAGCACTAACAGTAGCAGAAGCAGAAGCAGTAGCAGCAGGAGCCGGAGCAGCAGCAGCAGTAGTAGGAGCAAAAGCAGGAGGATGAGGATCAGGAGGATGAGGAGCAGGAGCAGTGGTAGCTCCACCGAGCCCTCCATGGCAAGGTGAAGACTGCTCGTGATGCCGAGGCCCGGTCCAAGAGCTTCGTCGACCCTTCGACGAAAGGTTTGACTTCTGCAATTTCGTGTAACGTATGTATGTATGAATTTGCAAGCATATGTATATATGATCCCGGTTCGGCCGAATCCCCCCCTCCCCCCCATTCCCCCCCAATCCTGTGGTGTGTGGTTGTGGGTTGCTTCCCCCTCCTAGGCTGGTTACCCCACTCCCCCCTGTGGTGTGGTGTGGTTTGGGTTTCCTGCGTGGGTCTGCTTGGCGTGTGAGCCCAGATTCGGCTTGGGGAGCGTGGGGGGGGGGGGGGGGGGGTCGGTGAACCGAGAACCGGGATCATATATATATATATATATATATACATACATAGATACACATGTGTCTGCATATATATATATATATATATATACGTACTATGTACACACACATGCATACACGTCTCTCCTTCTATCTGTGTGCCCTGTGAAATGCTGAAACATGTCGACCCCCTGCGCCTGTAAGTCATGCTGACCGAAATCCATGTCTGGTGTGCTGGTTTGGGTAGAGTGCGGTGCTCCTAAACCCTAAACCCCTAGCACCAAAATTTAAAACCAAAACCCTAAATCCACTGTTTGAAGAGCCTGGGTCCTGTGAGGAAAGTAATTGTGGATCTGGTCATCACATTTTCTATCAAGGTTTCGTAGTCCTTGATTTCACCAGTTCGAATTGGCGACTTGAAGAATTTCTTGGGTGGAGAAATTTTTGGTGTGATTCTGAGGTTTTGCGCCTGTAAGGTGTTGAGTATTGGTGAAGTGAGAAGAACATGTGTGCTCGAGAGGCTCAAGCCATCGACGAGGCAGCAGCTGTACGGCAGGTGCCGTGGTGGTTTGAGAACCCCCCAAATTCCGAGCTCTCTCGCTCTCTCTCTCTCTCTCTCTCTCTCTCTGTCTCTCTCTCTCTCTCTCTCTCTCTCTCTCTTTCTCAATCTCTCTCTATATATTTAATCAGTGCACATAAGAACATAATATATATATATATATATATGTATATATACACATACACATGTGTATTACTATTGGTCTACTGGTTGTTTTCACGTGTGCTGTTTGTTTATCTATGTATTTGTATTCCTTTGTTTTTTGAAGCCATGAGCAGGTCTGCTGAGGTGGGGCAGCCTCAACGCAACAAAAACAGGTTGAAGCGAGTCTGATTCGAGACGATTTGGAGCAGGATGCCGGGAACAAACACAGTCCGGCACTGGCACCCTGCACCCGAAACGCTCAACTCAAACTCCGTGCCCTCAAACGTTGCCCCACCAATATCCAGCTTATACTAACCCCCGACCCCAAGCCTAAACCCTGAACCCAATCTACGAAGCCTGGAAAGCTGACTCTTGATGTAAAGCCGCACGGTCCTGTCGGAATTACTACTATGATTTGGGGAAGTACGCCCCATAACAGTACCTACAGTAGGACCCGTTGGGTGTTTCTTGCAGGGCACAGATCCTGTCAGCGACTTGCAGTGGAACCTCTTGGCTGCC